TTTTTCAGAGAGAAGTCATTATGTCTATAACAGGGAAACCGTAAAGGTAGTGGCAACAGAATAGGTTTCTTGCGTGATTTGTTTTTAATCTGCAAAGATATCAATGATCGGATTAACTCTGAGGTGGGTTAACTTGCTTGTATTATCTCTGACTAACTCAGTGACCTTGCAGGTAGCTTCTTTGCCCCAGATTCCCCAATATGAAATGATAATTATGATTTTCAGAGCATCCTATAAAAGAAAGTGAGCTTTCTGAGAGAAAATGACACCTAATGATTAAAGTTTTAATGGAAATGCTTGTCCAAAAAAAAAAAAAAAAAGAACAACCAAAAACCCCACTACAAGAAAACAAAGGCTTTCCAAGGATGCCTGAATTGTAAGCGGAGTTGAAGTCTTGAACTACTACTTTTTTCATAAGAACATATCTGCGTAACTTCTTTCTTTAATTTTTCATTCATTTCAGCTAAAACCTATTTCAGATTTCACAGAGAAGTCACATGAAAGTTGCTTATACATGTGCATGGAGATGCGATTCATGTGCAGTGAGGATGCATAAGAAGTCTAGCTCAGACTTTTCTTAAGGCTCCCCAGCCACATCTGGTTTGTGTCAATCAGTTGCTACCTCAAAATGTTTTCATGTTTCTAGATGGGAACAGCTTGAAGTGTCACAGAAAATCACTTGTGTGCCATACAGACAACAATACTTAATTCTATAATTAGCTTCAGGCAGTGAGACAGCTGGCAAGATTTTTTGCCAATTTTTTAAGCTTATTTTGGCAGATTTTTATTAAAATGAAAGCTGCTCATTAAAATAACTTTTGTTTTGAACTCCCAGACCTTGTTTGCAGGAGTGCTTCTATACTTCTAAGAAACAGAAATAAAGAAAGAACATCCATTGCAAAACTTGATGATATTTAGAACAGAAAATACATAGAATAGGCTGATGTCTCATGTATTTTAACGAGAAAGAAGACACAAAATGACTTAGCTTTAAGGATTTGAATGCATCCCTAATGAGGATAATGTCCTGCCCCCAGGTCCTCATGGTACAGAAGAGCTGGATTACGAAGAGAAGTGAAAAATAATTTAAGCATGATGATGAATTCAAGATACAAAATATTGTTAGTTCAGGTGGAATTTGAGTTGAAGTCGTAAACTGAAACATGCACGGACGTATGAGAAAAAATATTGAATCCTCTGCCCAGGTCTGGGAGAATGATTTTGAAGAAAAGGTAGAGATGGCTGGGCACTTTGTCACCAAAAACTATCTGGTTTTAAGGAAATTATTCTCCTTTGGTGACACTCGTGGTGCTCGGTGTGCCGTGGACTGCAGGCACTTGGTCGCATGGTGGTGCAGGGAACAGACAACGTGGGGACTCGGTGTAGGCATCCCTGCGGTTGAGCTGAGGACATGGGAGTCCTAGGTGAACCTCAGCGTCCTAGGGCAAATGCATTTCAAATGCTTTTGAAATAAAACCATCTCTAACCATTTTCGCTCCTGTCCCAGTGGAATTTCCCCTATTCTGCTGCAGGAAATCTGTGATATTTATAGCTTTTTGCTGTAAAATGGAAAGATTTCTCCCTCCACCTCAATTTTCAGAGATTCTTAGGAAAAAGGAATCTCAGCTTTCAGCTTATGTAATGCAGGCCTGTTGGTGCATTTTTCGGAAACCTGTAAAACCCACAAGAGACAGTCCCATACCTTCTCTCTGCTGCCACTGACCTGGGCAGGTTCCTTGCTCCTGCAGCTGCTTGCCACGGGTACTTGCCTCTGCTTCAAATCTGGAGGCTACCTGGGCTTGGTCCTGTCTCTGATGCAAAACACGGACTAGTTCGCACACTGTGAGTTGTGTGCCTTTTATCACACGCAGTTGCCCTTGTGTAATTAGTCCTTTAGGTAGCTGGCGAAGCTGATGTTTGGCCATGTAAGACATTGAGGTGCTGGAGCGTGTCCAGAGAAGGGCAACAAAGCTGGTGAAGGGTCTGGAGTACAAGTGTTATGAGGAGCGGCTGAGGGAACTGGGGTTGTTTAACCTAGAGAAGAGGAGGCTGAGGGGAGACCTTATCTCTCTCTACAACTACCTGAAAGGAGGTTGTAGTGAGGTGGGTGTTGGTCTCTTCTCCCATGTAGTTAGCGATAGGACGGGAGGAAACGGGCTTAAGCTGCATCAGGGGAGGTTTAGATTGGATATTAGGAAAAATTTCTTCATGGAAAGGGTAGTCAAGAATTGGAACAGGCTGCCCAGAGAGGTGGTGGAGTCACCATCCCTGGAAGTGTTTAAAAAACGGGTAGATGTGGCACTTCGGGACATGGTTTAGTCTAGTCTACCCTTGATTTGTTTAGAGTGGACTTGGTAGTGTGGGTTAATGGTTGGACTGGATGATCTTAAAGGTCTTTTCCAACATAAACAATTCTATGATTCTATGAGTCTGTGCCCAACCACTAGGAAGTGTATGACACTGCAGCCAGCTGGGTAAGTGGTCTTTTCCAACCTAAACAATTCTATGATTCTATGAGTCTGTGTCCAGCCACTAGGAAGTGTATGACACTGCAGCCAGTTGGGTAATCAAGATGGTCTGGCGCATCCAACATACTGCTGAAGTGTTTGTATCAGCGTTGGTGGGGGCATGACGAGTCTGATGGTGGAAGGGAGAGAGCACAGGATCATCCTTCCATGGTAAAATTGCAGCCTTACACTGGCATAAGCCAGTCTGAGTCCTGCCGTGCAGCAGTTGTTAACGCAGGAAGATATTAGTCCTCTTAAATACAGAGATTCCATCTGAAAGATGATTAGCATGTAATTTCTTAAAGCCTTTCACTGGACACTTTTTCTTGTTCCTACATGAAAATCACTTAATGTGATTCGCACCGACTGCAAGCTGTGCTGGTAGCGTTGAAGGAAACATTGAGATCAGGTTGTGTAGTGCCTTGCTGTGGAGTCATTTAGATGGTGCTTTGCAGATACCCATAAACCAGCTGTAATAGACCACTGTCAAAGCAATGCTGCACAAGCCTGGCAGTAAAGCGATGGTAAACATCACTGCTTATCTGTTCTCCATGCTAATGTGCCTGCGCTGCTCTTCACCTGCACCTGGAGCCCACAGCTACGTCTGAGCCCATCTTCACATTGTCCAAATGAAGCCAGATTCAGTATCGCAGTCCAAAATTGTCCCTGTTGGTGCCAAAAAAGCGAATGGGGATTTTAGCAGTCCTTTATTACATGCTGTAGATATGTATTATTTTCATTTGGGTTACTCTTCATAGCATGTCCTCTTCTGGGCTGGTGAAGGTGCTGCAGTCAGATATCTATATCCTTGTGTCTTAATAAAGGCCTCAACATGTGAAAAGTGGGTACAAAAATACATTTTTAAGAGCCTATAGTATATAAATTATTTCATTCATTGAGCAAGGAGCATTTTTTGATGTCTTTTATAGGAATGTATTTTATAGGATAACAAAACTCTTTTTAGCTTGGTGTTACACATATTTCTATTTCAAAAGGCTTAGTTTTCTTAGTATTATTATTGTGATGAGGTACACAACTATCTTTCAAAATCCCCATAACATTTTTCTGCTCAAAGGAGTTAGTCTTATTTTCTATAAAGTCTCCTCAAAGTGTAATGCTTCATTAAAATTAATAAGGCTGTGACCTACATAGTTTACAAAAGAATTAAATACTGTAATAATATGAAGACCATATCCTTACTGTGCAGTTAATTTCTATTTTTCCTTTATATTTTGAGTGTTCACTTCTTTCTTTGAAGTCTGTGTCAGGCTAATGCACAAATAGTGTTCACTGAATAAGAATGGAAAAAGGGTGACTTTGTGGCCTTTTCTGGCAGATTATGTTGATAGTTTTAATGCTGCCTTGTCTCCTAACCCACTGGTCCTGATGACTGATTAAACACTCTAGCATCAGCTTTTGGAGACTTTTGTAAATTTTTTTTTTTTAATATATATTTTTGCTGCTTGGGATTCCACAAAGTACAGGAATCTGATATTGTCAAACCTACAAAGAAAAGCTCTGTCCAAATTTTATGTACAGTTGAGGTCCAGATCTGCTTTGATATGCAGACCTTGCTGTCAAAAGCAAATTCTAATCTTTGGGCCTTGAAGACAATCCTGCCATGTTCAATGACCTTTGGTCCATGAAGACAATTTGGAGCATTTATGGACCTATGTTCTGGATTTGCCTAGAAAAGTTCTCCTAAGCAAGAGCAGCAGAATATGGGTTAGGACACAAGCTAGAGACAGATGACCAGTTAGTAGTTACCACAGGCGGACATGGTAGCTGAACTACTGTTGTTGCCTAACTTCATCTGTTAGAAGCCCACTGCTGGCAGTTGTCTGAGACTTGGTTGATGTCATTCACATAGGCTGATGGTTTAAAGTGAGGAGAAGTCCATCAGTGGAAATAGCTGGTGGTATGTTAAGAAAGTACAACTTTATGGGTCATGTCCTTGTTTCCAGGCTTGGTGCAAGAAAAGGGCATTTTCTTTTAGCAAAATTTGAAAGCAAGACTTCAAAGAAGTGTTTTCTTTGATGGAATACAAAGAAGTCCTGTGTCTTTGAAGAGGATTGTTGGCATTCTGCAACAGTTTCCAAAATTGGAGGCTATGTGTAGCATGTTTGTCTCTGTGTATGAGTTTCTTTTAATTGGCACATAACAAATGTAAAATTAGAAAGTGATACAGCATAAAAGAAGATAACATAAAAAAAATCTTAGCAGGCTTGAACTACGTTACTTTGCTGGAAGTTTGAGTTATGTCTCATGGGTCCTTGCTGCATTTCATGTTTTAAGAATTATTGCGACCTGTAATTGTTCCACAGAACTCATTTTAGTAGAGCAAAAAGTAAGACATCACTGCAGTTTGAGCAGCCGTTAAAACTTGTATTCAGTCTTTATACTGACTTGATGTAGGTGGGTGGTACAGGTAATGGTCAGTATACCACAGTTTAGTTTATTTAATAAAAATTCCTTTCTTTTTCCTTCTTTCAGTTGATCTTAAGAAAGGCTCATGTCCAAGTGCTGCAAAATCAAACCTCCCCAAGCCCTGCCAGTCTGGACTTCGTCCTCCAGGTTATGCACGGTTGCCAGCAGCTAAGCTGGCTGCATTCGGTTTTGTCAGGAGCTCAAGCGTATCCTCTGTCTCCAGCAACCAGTCAAACGACAGTGCTCAGAATGATCAAAGCAGGACAACCAACCGTAAGTCCAAAAAGTGTCCTTCTTTCTGGGGGAATATTAAATAGATGTGTTCCAGGATTGTCCAGACTGGAGTTTGTGTCCAATTTAGGACTAATGTAATCTGTGCGGCACTCACTAATCTCTTCCGTGCGACTGAGTTGTAGGTTTGGTGTCTTGGCTTCCCAGTGTCATTTTTCAAAATATTATTAATAATAGATGAATAGATGCTGAATATACATTGCATATAGAAGGGCCTGTTTTCCCTGCTGCAGAGAAAATCACATTAAGAGTGAACCTGAGGCATTTTTGTATTTTGTTTTTACTTAGAATATCCCTTCTTACAAGCTGAAGTCAGTAAATAATCACAGGAAACTGTGTATGGTAAGTACATTGCTGCCATGTAGAAGAGTTTAGGACAAATATTATCTAAAATGAGCAACATAGTCTTTCTCATCTGCTTTTCTTCTGCCTTTTAACATGCAGTGTAATAAACTTAGGTTAGAAAATTAATCAAATAACGCCAGTGGTATGAAAGCGATCAGAACTGACATTGTAGCTGTTGTCTCATCTAACAAGACTTGGAAGGATCCCATGGCTGAAATGTCATTTCAAATCTTATTTTCTGTAAAGACTGTTAATTTTATTAAGTGCTAAGTAATACCCGCTGGATTGTGTAGTTCTTGGGAAGTGTGCACATGCCCTGGGCTTGGAGCGGAAAGGGGGATTGAGGGATTTTCATGCCCATTTTTCTTTGAAGACTGGATTGAGTCTGAACTGTGTCAATATCAAAGCAAGTGGTATCAGCCCAGGAGGGGTGCAGATAGGGGGGACCAGGTGATACAAAGCACCAGAGGAGACAAGATGCTGCAGGCTCCTAAATCTTTCAGTGTTTGTATTGATTTGAAATGAATTAAGATAAATAAAGTGAAAATAGTTAAAAACCCTAAGGATTTTGCCTTTTCCCTTTTATATGGGGTAATTGAAATGCCAAAGACGACTGTGTCCAGGGACTTCTAAGTTTTCCAATGCCCCCAGACATACGCTTGTATCTTGGTTTACTGTTGGACTGATTGCTCATTTTTGTTTATTTCCTAATAAACTTTACTTTGAGGGTAGTCAACCTCTTTTGCTTTGTGCTTTTACCCTACATTTATGCCTTTGGAAAGCTTTTCCTTTTTTCTGGTGTTGTAATCTTTTTGTCTTTGGTTACATAAAGCCTTTTTTAGGGACAGAATTACCTGATTTCTGATTAGGTCTAAGCTACATCTCTGCAAGAAGTGTTGTCTAGCAATTTCAGGTGTGAATCTGAAAAAAATAACATCTGTAGGCACAGCACTATCCTTGAACACAGTGGATGCATACATGTTCATACAATTGAGAATTCTCTAAAAGGAAAATACTCCAGACTGTGGAATTTCAGTCAGTTGATTTCCATTCAAAAACTGTGGAAGAAGCATTAGTAATCTCAGACCCAGAAAGTTACATTTGACTGCTCATTCGTCTTAATAAGAAGTTGATTTCATTTATATATTCTCGTGTATTTTTATATTGTATTTGTACATTAAGCCCATAAAAACTGAAACCATATTCCAGTCACCAGAAGGATGTGGAAGTATTTAGCGCATACATTTTGTTCCAGCTCACCTGGTTGAAGGTAGTAACCCTCTTCAATGTTGGGATTAGGATGTTGTGACCAACTTGTTCATGCTGCAAGAATGTTTCTGACGGATATGGAAATTACCCAAGGGAAGTGTTCTGCTTGTACAAATTCGCGTAGAGACGAGCTCAGCCTGTCACCTGATGAAAAATAGGACCTATCACTTGTCCTCTTGCTGACAAGTTAGGTAGCTCATCTAAGCAGTTGTCTAGTTTCCCTTCATCTCCATGGGAGAGCAAGAGAATGAGAACCTCCGGAGGGTCATCTCTCTGACGTGGTTCCTGTGACATGCACAGCTGTCCAGCCCGAAGTCTTTTACTTGTCTTTAATTCCACCCCAGACCAGGGTGAGAGAAGGAGAAGGTGCGTTGCCAAGCAGGTGAGGGCACGCCCTGTGTTTAGGGTGTCAGCCGTTGGGTAAGTCATCACACAAGAAGACACCTAACATCACCTGCTTTCTTTGGATTAAAGGCAACACAACTCCTGTTCATCACTCTTGATAGGGCAGATAGGTAGGAAGAAAAAAATGTTTCCTTAGTGTTGAATTATTAACTTTCATAGAAATGTTATCAGTGTGAAATGGTATCATCTTTTTCTGTTTATAGTCTATGTGCCAGCAAGAGTTAAATTAGTTGCCCAGTCCCCAGGGAGCACGAAGTAGTTGCTTTCCATTCTACTGCAGCTTATTTAACACAGATCAGCAGTGCATTTCAACATGCACAGAAAGTAACCCCAAGAGTGGATGCAGGGGAGAAGTATCGGCTCAGGAATCTTAGCATGACATATTGTTTCTTCCCTTCACTGTCTGCTGGAAGAATGGTTTTATTTAAATTAAATAAATAGCTGATTCTGTAGTTACTACCTGAGATCATGTCTTTGACTAAATCAGGCTTCCTAGAGGGCAGGGTAAAGTTTTACTGTTAATTTCCTAGCTCAATAGGGTAGAAAATGCAAAATGATCTTGCTTTAGAAATCTTCAAACATACATGATAACACAGTTTCCTGTTTAAGCAGCATCTCTGCATGTCAGGGAGACAGAAGTAATTGAAAACATCTTACAAGTGTGCATATGTTATAAATAGAGGAACTGCTACTGCTGTAAATGGAAGGGCTCACCTCAAGTTCTTGTATCTGCCGTAAAAAAATCACGATGCATTGTAAGTTGCTAAAAAGCAGACGACTACAGCTGGATGAGAGGAAAATACAGGTTTATTTTACAGGCAGAGTGTTTTAGGGGAAACAGTGATCCTTGAAGGGGTCCTAGTGAGATCCTGTTCTTGTTTTTTTCTCCCTTGCCAGATGTCTTGTGGTGCTAGCTCTTCCCAAACCCCTGACGGTTACATTTCTTTTCAGAAATCTCAACTAGTGTCTCATTTTGGCATACTAATACTGATGAAATACTGTCTAGGGAGTAAAACCCCACTTGTTTAGAGTAAGGAGACGTGATGTTTGTGTTTCAGGGAAGATTTTTAATGGAGCTGCGATGCGGCAGCTTTGTTCTTCAGCAGATTTCTCCCCTTCCTGTGACCTCTCTGAAAGCAGTAAGCCTGGATGTGCACGGAGCCTGTGCTACGCTCCTCGGCTGGCTTTCTGGCAATAGATCGCATATTCTCATTGACTCAATTAAATGGATTTGCAGCGGTGGGACTGTGCTCTTTTCCCATGGCAGGGACAGGGCAGGCTGTGCAGCACTTGTCTGCTTGTCCTCTGGTCTTTCCTGGAGTCCCATCCCTGGAGTGTGGGTATAAGCCAGGCTGCTGTTTGCCGATAACACGCCAACTGCGACAGCCATGCCATCAGCTGCTAATCAGGATCAGTTGTAATGGGGCTCTGCTCCTATGGGGTTGTGCTCAATTGCATGCTGAGGCTGGAGGGACAGCTCTGGCATCCAAACCGCTCAGCATCTCACCAGCTTCTGTGGCAGGGAACTGACCTGCAAGCCAGGGTCACTAGTCTGTTTTGGCCATTTAAAATACACTTTTTGGTGCTTACGTGTAACTTGCGGTTTGCATGCAGGGGAACCAGGGTCCATGAAGCTCATTCAAGATGATGGTGGCGTATGAGGCAGCTTCTCACCTTGCTGAAGAGGGTGGGATGCAATGGCAGAAGGTAAAGACCACTCCATTTTGAAGCTGGATCCTAGGATGGAGCAGGGGAGCTCACCACAGCTCACCACTGGCTGTCCTGCCGTGTTCAAAATGAAATGGTTAAAATGGTTCAGGGTGAGCTCTTTGTTCGATACGGCAAACAAGGGCAGTTGTGTTTTATTCAAACAACTCAGAGAAGCAGAGACAGTGAGAGCTCACTGTACCAATGGAGGGGGTCCGTGCAGCTCTCCCTGCCACTTTCACACCTCCCATCCCATGGCTTCCCACATCAGAGCAGCTCTATACCACAGTGCAGCAAGGCCCCCGTGAGGTCTTCTGCTGGGGCAAAGCCACGTGGCCTGACACCTGTGGAACAGCTGGGAAACCCCCTCAGCTCCTACTGTCAGACCTCCCCAGATTTGTTCCGTGCCACAGATGGGTTTTTCCAGTAATATTTTTGCCCAAGATTACCTGAAAAGTTCAAGTTTACCCTCAGCTCTGGCCTACTACATTTGAGGTTTAAAAATGCATAATTTTCCAAACTCGTATTCTTTGTTTAGACAGAGGGTTTTTTGTATGTCAAAAAACTTGTCGAGTTTGTTTACACTCTAAATTGGCTAGAATTGAAAAAGTCAGTACTTCAATCTAAGAGGAGCATGAGTGTTCTCTGCTAAATATGAGAAAAAGTGAATGACTAGCAAAGTCACGTTAAGGTTGAAACCAGTATGATTTGGAGGGGAGTGAAACAGTTGTGTAAACATAAAGAAAAAACTCCTAAACAGCTAACTTATAACAGAATACCTAACTATGTGTATTTTCCCTTGGAATTTTAAATACACTATATTGAAGCTTCTTCTGTGCCTAAGAGGTTCATGTTGTACACCGAAGGCCCACAGCTGTGGGATGTGGTTCCCAATATTATCTTGTGATTCTGCAATGCAGTTACAGTAACACAGCGCCCAGGCTGTAGTTTCTGTTTTCTTAGTTTATGAGGCATAGAGTTCTCTCATTGTTTGTATCTGTATTTCTAGTGATCGGCTGAATATCCTGCTTACAAATTAGTTTTCTGTACTTTATCAGAATAGACCCTAACATGCGGTAAGCACGGCATAGGAAACACTTCAATAAGCACTATGAAACAGTTTGATGGGTGGAGCATTGGAAGAAAGATGGATTGTTTGGAATGAGTTGAGGTATGATAACTGCTGTAAGTTTAGGAAATGGAAGAATGTAGGTGTAATATTCAGAAATACTTTGTAGTCATAAGGTCTGCTAGTC